ATTCAGAACAGATGTAATTGCATACCCACACAAGACTTTGAAACTATTACTGTTCTATCAAAATTGCTTATAATTCTCTAGAATTCACATAGCCTGTATAATAACACATGCTTGTGTTGTAGTGAGATAAGAATGATATCAGATAACATATTAACTATAGTTGTACTCCTTGATATTCTTATTATTCTCCACCAGTTTATTTTAAGTAGTTCATATAAGGGAGTTTTAGTTTGCCCATTGTATGCTCAAGCTGGGCACTGCAAAACCCTCAAAAAACATTATTAGCAAATATCTACTTTAAAGTTTAAGAATGAATAAACTATTGCATTTAATCTGCTATTATTTGTAAACAATATAGGCATTCATCATTATATATATTACTTTAAGAATAAAATTTTAACTCTTAAAATACATTATTGTTATGGATAATATATGTTTAATACACATAAAAGTAGACCAATAAAATGGGAGTAAAAAACAATTTGTCTAATGTCATACCTTCTATTAAGCTCAAAAATATGCCCAAATCATAAATTATAACATGTTAATATATCATTTAAAAATAAATAAATAAAATTTAGATACTTAAAAACACAAAATAAAGTTTTTTAAAACTTTTTTAACTTTATTACATTCTGATCTCAATTACACATTAATCTCCTTTAGAGAAAGAGCAAATGAGCAAATACATGAAAAAATGCCTAATTTAGAAGTTATTTGCAAGTCATTTAGTTCTTGGGTTATAGAGGTATATCTTATTCCTAAACTAGAAGGGATGAAACATTTTATAGTTGACTATTGTCCTTTAAACTATATCATAGTTGATTACTTATATTTTTACTTTAGGTTGATAATTTGATGGATATTTTAAAGAACAATAATTATTTCACCATCTTGGACCTGGCATTAGGGTATTGGCAAATATTTATAGACCATATTAATATAGCAAAGACAATTTCTTTAAACTTTAATGGGTTTATATGAATTCATGGTGATGCCATTTAGTCATTGTCCTTGCCTTTGTTATATTTCAGCATATGATGGATGAAATATTAAAAGGTTTTCAAGATTTTTCATAAATATATTTAAACATTTTGTTAATCCACACTGATGTCATGTGTTTATGATATGTCAAATGTGCTCCAACAACTTTAGAAACACTTTTTCAAACTCAAACATCTACAATATAACTTTAGGTAGAACTTTTTGATGTATTTAGGGTTTGTGATCTTGTGAAATAGAGTGTGGCTAAATCTTGAAAAGTGTGGTTGTAGTGTATGTGGTTTTCACTCTTTATCCTATAGTGATTTACTATAAGATAACCACAAAGCAAAACCTAAACTCTCTATATGCCACATGTCACATGCTATGTGCCACATGCCATATATCTAAGGATAATGCCAAGTTTAAAGGCTTTGGGCCACTAAATGAAGGAATAAAACCAAACTCCCAAACTTGCAATCAAGGAGTGAAGAAACTAAAGCACAAAGTAACTTTTGATCATTCAACTCAAGAAGCCAAGGGATAGGAGCCTGAAATGATATTTGAACAATCTTAGAGCTTTTAACATCTTAATTGCAGTGCACCCTATCTCTCTTTTGAAAGAGCCTTTAATAGCTATTTTATCCCTATTTATCCCCCAAAGTTCCAAAGATCTACGATGACAGTATATATAAATCTCATCCCATGATCACATACACTACACTCACCCCTCCTTTAGAGATGTCAATGTCCTTATTAACTATTAATTAATACACCCCCTTTCAAAGATGTCAATATCTTCATTGACTATTGACTAACAACCTCTATTGAGCCAAGGGGAACCATCACCTCCATTTTCATATTAAATCTATCAATCCTTCCATTATGTAAATTAATTATTCTATGTGAGACAATTAGTCATCCACTCATATTACAGTCTAACAGTGGATACCTTTGTCCATGGATGCTCCACCAAAAGGAAGGACATATACATGGATGCCTAATACGTATGATTTCAAATTTTGGGGTAAGAATATATTTTGCTCAAGGGTATATTATATTTTTAAGTAGCCACTAATCAATGGGAATCAAACCCGTGCCATTTGCGCTGATACCACTTATTCCTTGTGGTTTGTTTTGGATTGGTCTCTTGAGTTTGAGATATCGATAAAATGTTATTAACGCTCGCAAAAGCAATTTAGGTTCCTTTGTATTCTTGACTAAGATTTATTCAAATTAACTAGTATGATAGTTAGCATGAATGAGTGTTTGTTGATCTTCCCATATTCATTCTGATTTGTTGATTATTGCTCAAGTTAGTTCTGATAAATTGTGATATTGTTTCCTTTTTGGTAACGTGTGTGAGTCTGCGGTTCAT